TGTTAGAAAGGAGTTCATAGGCAAATATTCACTTTAAAACATATTTTTAAGTCTGCCTTAAAGGAAGGGTGGGAATGAGTGTGAATTCATATAGATGAGCTATGCATGAGTCTGTATTTCCAAAATAAATAAAGTTCATTTTTTACAAAAGCTCCAACAAGTAAATTTGTGTCAAGACAAAAATTTTTTAAAAATGCATTTTTAAACAAAAGTCAACCGTGATAATATAAGTCAAGTTACTGTTTCTTTGTGGAAAATGTGCCCTTGCAAGTTAAAGTATTTTCCCGTAGCAACAAAATACTACTAGTATAACTGTGGGATTAGCCATAGAACACAATTGGGTTTTGTAATTATTTTATATTTCATTTAACTCAAATGTAAGAAAAAGTGTGGGAGGTCATGCTCATGAGTTCAACATGCAGAGATATGCGTGTGTGTGTGCGTGTGTGTGAGTGTGTGTGTGTGAGTGTGTGTGAGTATATGTGTGTGTGTGTGAGTGTATGTGTGTGTACGAGTGTGCGTGTGTGTGAGTGTGTGTGTGACTGTATGTGTGTGTATGCGTGTGTGAGTGAGTGTGTGAGTGTGTGAGTGAGTGTGTGAGTGTGTGAGTGAGTGTGTGAGTGTGTGAGTGAGTGTGTGAGTGTGTGAGTGAGTGTGTGAGTGTGTGAGTGTGTGTGGTGTGTGTGTGAGTGTGTGTGTGTGAGTGAGTGAGTGTGAGTGAGTGTGTGTGGGGGGAGTGGAGAAGCTAAGGCCTAGCATCTTCCCTTGGAGATCAGCTGAGCTAGCAGTCGCAAGCAGCGGTTGCTTCCAGTTACCCCTTTACGAGAAAAAGTCACCATAGCACCTTTTTCTGAGAAAGGAAGCCTCTCAGAAGGGAAGGGAAGGACAGGCCCTTTGCTTTGTCACGCGCTGTTCTCTGCAGTGTGTGTGGGGGGAGTGGAGAAGCTAAGGCCTAGCATCTTCCCTTGGAGATCAGCTGAGCTAGCAGTCGCAAGCAGCGGTTGCTTCCAGTTACCCCTTTACGAGAAAAAGTCACCATAGCACCTTTTTCTGAGAAAGGAAGCCTCTCAGAAGGGAAGGGAAGGACAGGCCCTTTGCTTTGTCACGCGCTGTTCTCTGCTCTCGGGAGAGGCACCGCCTGTGGTTTTGAAAGTCTGAGTTGCCTGTCCTGCGCGCCTGCCACCCCCGCTGGTGAGAGGGCAGGCGTTTCCTCCTGGTGACGTCCTGGAGCCACTCTGCCTGCGCACTGCCTACTCCCTCCGGAGCACCTCCCTCCAGGCAGGCCTCTCCCTGCACGCAGCCTGCAGGCAGGACACAATGGAGAGCAGAGCATTCCCGAAGCCATTCTGCACGGGGCGCTGTGGCCAAGGAGAAAGCAGCCAGTCGCGCGAGTTTGGAGCAGCCTCTCCCCTGAAGGGGCCCCGCGGGCCATGCTGTGCTGGGGGCGCTGTCCTGATGCACGCAGTTCAGCAGCCCCCTGACCTTTACTCACTAATGCCAGGAGCCGCCCAAAGCCCCCAGTGGTGACAACAAAAAATACTTCCAGACATTGCCAAATGTGCCCTGGGGAGGATCATACCACACGCCCGCACACGCATGCACACACACACGCACACACGCACATGCATGCACACATTCTCGCGCACACACAGCGGAGGGGAGCATGGGCCGGTGGGGCCTGCGCACCGGACGGGCTGCAGCTGGGGCACACTGAGCCGCTCGGCCCCTCCCGGGTCTGTGCCTCTCCCTCACACTGCCGCCCCCTTCACGCGGGACCTGCACCGTCTTCCTCCGACTCAGCTTGCCCAGGAGCCACACATTCTGGAAAGTTCCCCATGAATTCTTGTGCCCTTGTACTCTTGCTAGGTTGCCTTAACATTGTGTCTAAGAAAATCTATGAAACTTAGATTGAAGTTGGTATCTCACTGAAGGAGGGGGTGGATTTTATTTTATGCTGAAATAACTTCTATTTTTAACATTAAATATTTTCAAGAGCTGCATCTTACTTGTGTTTTAAACTTGTAGGAAAAGACACATCACTTTCCTCTGCCCTTCTAGGTTCCGTAGCTGAGGTCCCTCTCCGTGTAATGGAAGACAGGCTAACAAGAGAAAAGCAAGTTTAATGACACGAGTGTGTCATGTGTACCTGGGAGAGGGCCAGGAAAATGGAGTAAAACTCTCCAAAATGGCCCAAGCACCACCAGATCCCAGCTGCAGCTAAAAAGCGAAAGGAAGATGTTGGAGGGGGCCTGCTGCTGGAGGGTCCGAGAGAAAGCAGAGCACACAGGTAAGGGTGCGATGCAGATGGCGCTGGCGCCTTCTTCACTGACAGTGTCTTGCGCTTTAGCATCTTCCTTTTCTTCCTGACATGGAGGGAGGCCTCAGAGAGGAGACTTCTCCGTAAACGTAAACACCCCGGCAGGGGGCTTCCCCTGCAGCGGAGCTCTCCTGCGCCAGGGAGACGCACTCAGGGTGATCCATTCTGCCCCCCTTTAACCCCAGGCTCAGAACCAGCGTGTTGGTCTCAACTCAAAATACCTTTAAAACACAGCTTGGTTCTGTCACTGAGGATGTTCATGGTTCTGTTCTCCAGTCAGTTTTCAATGGTCTGAAAACAGGCATGAAAACGTAAAACATGTTTAAAGTCTTTCTAATTAGGCCCCCTGCAGAGTCTGTGAAGCAGCAGGGATTCCCACAGTGGCCTTCACGGGATTTTTTTGTTTGTTTCATTGTTCAAAACACTTTGTGGCCGGTGCTGTTCTACCATCTGCAGCATCGATGACCCACATCTCTGTCTGACCTCATCGGTTTCCTTTTGCCCGCCCCGGTGAGGACCTTCTGGTCCTTCCCCTCAGACACTATTCTCTTGTCCGTTTTGTTTCTTGTTTCCCCTATTTAATGATGGTATCTCAGTCAAAGGGGTAAAAAATAAAAATAAAAGATCAAGTCTCTTGTTGAGGAACAACTAGGAGTAAACAAACTTGCCTTTTGACATGTGAAGTCACACCTGGTAATGGCGGTAAGACAGTAAGCAAATCAGGGCTTTCTGGCCAGAAGAAACAAGTGCATATTCTCAGCAGAATTGTTGATGTTTCTACAACCCCATGTGCGTTCCCGGCCAGGGGTGTTCCCCTTGTAGCCCATCCGACTCTCAGAAAAACCAGTTGGTAATGGCCGGCCTGCTTCCTGCGGCTGCATTGGGGACTTGTGGGGAGGGAGGGGGAGGGAAGCACTCCATTCTGGTTCAACTTTAATTTTATTTTGCCTGCTATCAAAAGCATTTATTTGGCTAGGTTACACCAAATAGATACACAAAAAGCTGCTTCTCAGCCATTTTCTAGTTTAAACCAAAACACATTCATTACAGGAGCTCCAAACCCAATTTAGCTCTTTTATCTCTTTTCCAAGGGGAGAAACCCTTAACATTACCCTGAAGAAAAGTGCCTGTAGCTTATGGTGACCATCAATAAGAAAGAAAGTCTGAAGGGCAAGATGAAATAGTGAGGAGGCTTCCATGTGCCAGAATTCTTTCAGTTGCAAAACAACAAAAAACCCAGAAACCCAACTGAAGTTGACAAGAGGAAGCTTAGCTCCTGAACTTGAGAATTCCAAGGAAAGCTCAGGTATGGTGGGAGCCGGGTCTCCAGCTCGGTCCTGGGTCGCACGCTCTTCCCAGCTCGCTCTCTCCTCTGATCCTGCTATCTCCGCGGCTCCCCATTTGGGGCGGGATTCTTTCTTGATTCTGACAATGTCTGTGCCTGTGAGAGGGAAAGTTGCCTCTGGCCGATCGACACATACATTCCTTCAGCTTTGTCCTGCTTCCTCCTGATTACAAAGAATATACACTGTCCCCAGGTGGTTCCCAGCCAGCCTCCCACGGGCAGCCACACTGCTGTCAGTCCTTCCTTGCTTTCCTGTTCCGAAGCCCCCACTTCATATCTGCACTCACCTCTACTAACCATCAGGTCACAACACAACCACCTGCACGCACCCTGCAATGTGTGAGTGACGCGGCGGGGGGGGGGGGGGGGGGGGACTCACTGGTTTTCATTCCGTTTTGGAAACGCTGGAGCAGTAGACCGTTGGTGACGGCCGGGAAGAACACGGTGCTCTGAGCCCTGCCCAGGTGACCAGGTAGCCAACTGCCTGTGCAGAAGCCAGATCTAATGAAGACACAGGATCAAGTGACAGGTGTCAAGGATGCTCAAGTCAGAACAAGCTTTTGGGGGACATAGAACCAAAGGTGTTTCCTGCTCAGCGACCTACTGGTCTCAAAAGCTTGAGCCGGGCCCTGACCGGTTTGGCTCAGTGGATAGAGCGTCAGCCTGTGGACTGAGGGGTCCCAGGTTCGATTCCGGCCAAGGGCATGTACCT